CTGGCCAGAGGCCAGGGTTATGACTTTATCTGTGCCCCTCACACTAATGGATTGAAGTCCTAACTGCCCAGTAACTAGACGTGACCTTGTTTGGAAATAGGGTCTTTGTGGATGTAGTTAGTTAAGACGTGTCTTCCTGGAGCAGGGCAGGCTCAACTCCAACTTGCCTGGTATTAATTTATAAGGGGAAATTTGGGGACCGCCCTGGCAGTCTAGTGGTTAAAACTCGGCACTTCCAGTGCAGCAGAAGCAAGTTTGATCCTGGTTAGGGAACTAAAGGGGTTTCCCCCGTGCCTCAGATGGTCAAGAATCTGCTTGCGATGCAGGAGACACAGGTTTGATTTCTGGGTTGGGAAGATCCCCAGCAGGAGGGCCTGCAACCCACTCCAGTATTCTTGCCTGGAGAATCCCATGGACAGAGAAACCTGGCGGACTACAGCCCATAGTGTGACAAAGAGTAGGACAGGACTGAGCGACTAACACTTTCACTTTCAGGGAACTAAGATCCCACGTGCCTCGTGGCCAAAACAAACAAACAAAAAAAACCTGATGACCAAAGAACCCGCAGAGCAGCTCTGAATGCAGACCTTCAGTCCTCTTCCCTATAGAGGGAAATAAAATACAAATAAAAAATAAAATGAAATTTGAACACGCACAAACGCACATCATGTGGAAAATGCCATGTGAGCATGGAGGGAGAGACGAGGTGAAGCCTCTGCAGGACAAGAGCCACCACCAGGAGGCAGAGAGGGGCTGGATCAGAGCCCCGTAGAGCCTCAGAAGGAACCGACCCTGTGGACACCTGATCTCGGACTTCCGGCCTCAAGACTGTGAGCAAATGTCTGTTGTTCAGGTCTCCGAGTGTGTGGAACTCTGTTAAGGGAATGGGTTGCTCAACTCTGGGCACTAAACGCTGCAGGAAGCCATGGCGTCCACCAGGGGGCGCTGATGATCCTGTTTTTTGGGGGCTTGGCGTCTAAGTCTACTGGGTCGGAGCTCACCACTTGGCGAGATGGGGGCCCACGAGGGGTGCCAATGAGCGAGCAGGTCAGGCCAGAAGAAACTGCGCGGCATCCCTTATTTTATTCGCACCCCAAAGACACCTTGTTGAAAAGTCAATTCTTTAAGATGTTCATATCATTTCTTTCTCCGACTCTGGGCACACAGATCACATTATGAACTGTGTGAGCTGTGTTTTTAAAACCAGCGGTTCCCAGCCTTTTTGACACTAGGGGCCTGTTTCGAGGAAGACAGTTTTTCCATGGAAAGGGTGGGGATGGTTTTGGGATGTGTCAAGCACATTAACATTTACTGTGCACTTTTCTATTACTATTATTATATCAGCTCCATTTTAGATCATCGGGCATTAGACCTCTGAGACTGGGGATCCCTTTAGACAACAATCTCTATTTTCCTACGAGACACCGAGGGTACTCTCTTTAACATAACAATATACTTCTCCTAGTTTTGTCTAGAGAACACACAGCTCCCTCCATTTATTTTTGTTTTCAGCACTTCTGGGTAGAGACACAGCTGGGGAGAAATACTTTCTTATTAGAAGAAAAATGGTGAAATAGATGGCAAATGAAATTTGCCCTCTGGGTCAGGGAGACAATCTGGGTGTGGAGGGACCTGCAAGGGTGTGGGGGCGTCCTGCCTGGAGGCGACAGCAGTAAATTCAGGATGTCCAATTAGGGCCAAGGTGGATTCTAAGACCCAGCTCGCCAGAGTCTGAATTTTCGAGAGAAGACAGAAATTCAGATTTTTTTTTAGGTGCAATGGCCAAAGTCTTAAGCTTTGACCCAGTCTTTTTCTATACCATAACCTATTTTATTATCCTTCATACAATGTATGAAAATTACATTGTTTATTGTTAATCTCCTCCACCTCACACTAGAGGTCTTTGAGAGTAGGCATGAGTCTATTTACCACTCATCCTTGGCCTGCAAGGAGATCAAACCAGTCAGTCCTAAAGGAAAACCACCCTGACTATTCATTGAAAGGACTGATGCTGAAGTTGAAGCTCCAAAACTTTGGCCACCTAATGTGAAGAGCCGACTCATTGGAAAAGACCCTGATGCTGGGAAAGATTGAGGGCAGGAGGAGAAGGGGGTGACAGAGGATGAGATGGTTGGATGGCATCACTGACTCAGTGGACACGAGTTTGAGAAAGCTCTGGGAGATGGTGAAGGATAGGGAAGCCTGGTGTGCTGCAGTCCATGGGATCACAAAGAGCTGGACATGACTGAGCAACTGAACAACAACTAGCATATAGTAGGTGCTCAACAAATACCAGTTGAATAAGAGAATGATACATCACTTGATATTGCTTGCATGAAGACACAGATTTCATGCACCTTCTTTTTCTGTGGAATCATCTTGGGACTGCAACTGATTATCAGAGGAATCTGAAAATCAACCTTAAAAAATTACTTATTTGGCTACATTAGGTCTTAGTTGCAGCACGTGGGATCTTCACTCTGGCAGGCACACTTCTCTCTAGTTGAGGTGCAAGAGTTCAGTAGTTATGGCATGCAGGCTTAGTGGCCTGCGGCATGTGGGATCTTAGTTCCCTGAGCAGTTACTGACCCCATGTCCCCTGCGCTGGAAGGCAGATTCCTAACTACTGGGCCGCCAGGAAATTCCCTGAAAAATCAACCTTTAAAAAAAACCCCAAAAATCCCAGCGCACAGTCACTGTGGGTGCACATACATGATTCAGGAAATTGACCTCTGAATGTACATGAGCGATCCAAAGAGAGGACAGAGCCCATTTGTTCCCTCACTCCAGCCCAAAGGGAGGCTAGGATACACGCTTGCCTGCCGGGGTTCTCACTTACCGCCATCAGTCAACAGGCTTTTAGCAGAGAATTGCATGTGTGATTGATTTCCAAATCCTTTCAGGTCCTGAAGGAGAGATACTTAGTACACAACGTACTTTGTCATCATGTGTCAACATCGCCTCAACGCAGAGAGCGGCATTACACGATGTAAGCGTGTAATTGGATTGTTGCTGGGATCTTTCCATCTGCATTTTCATTTACCCAAAGCCGCAGTTTTGGAGGGTCATTTGCTGAGGATGCCAGCCACTGGGGTGGGGGAGGGGGTGGTGTGAGTGCGTAGAAAGACAAAGGACAGCCATAAGCCGCAGAAGGCAAACTTTATATTTACAGTCGGTAAGTTTATAAATATATATTACATTCTTATAATCTACAATACATTCTGCACGCAGACGGATTGGAGAGAGGGCATCGACAGTGGTATGAAAATGAGGGAAAGGCTGAAAGGAACAGGAGTGGGTTACTGAAAGCAAAGGATTATCATTGAAAAGGGGTGACCATTTAGTCACCCAGCCAGACAACGTAAGTCAACTTGGGGACAGGAGCAGGTGGCTGATGGCTCCTGGACTCTCAGTCCTAGGGCAAATGGACAGCACCTTGGTTTGAGAGAGAGTGCTGAGGTTGAGAGGATGAACTGGTGGAATTACACACTTGATCTCAGGAGAATTCAATTATATGCACAGAGAGAGAGAGACAGAGACACAGAGAGAGAGGAAGCAGAGAGATAGGTTCAGAGAGACACAGAGACAGACACACAGAGAAAGGGAAATTGACCTTAGAACCCAATGCTCGAATAACCCAGCTCTCTACCCCATAGGCAGGTGCCATGGGTCCCTCCATCCCTCCAAGGTGAAGCAGAAACAGCCTCATATTCCCCCACACATGTGAGTGGGACCAGATTTCCTGCCCGACCCTTCTCGTCACACACACTGAGTCCCAACTCTCCTTACCCTGTACCCCGCTATGGGCATGCCCAGGTATATCTCAGCCTTGGGCAGAAATATTTATCAGCAGCCTTGGGCAGCAGACCAGATGGGACTGTCGAAAGACCCATCACAGACCATCCCTCCCTTCCTTCCAGAAAAGTCAGGAGAATGAGCATCCTTGGGTGTTAGCCTTTTCAAAGCAAGACACGTGTGAAGGTGGCCCCATGGGGCTTCAGTGTAGCCTGTCACTGGGTGATTGACAGGCCACAGGGGAAGAGACTCAGCAAACAGTGACACAGCTCGCCACTGCCCACGCGTGATCAATGACTTTTGGAAAGGTGGCGATGCAAGGAAGGGTACAAATGTGAACAGAGTGAATTTGCTTTTAAAAAAGCCTGGTTCTTTGAACCTGATTGAAACTCTATGCCCAGGATCCCTAGTTTACCAATAAAGGGATGCTCCGAATGGCTCAGAGGGTTTGTTTCCTGGGTGTTTGATCTTGACATCTAGTTACAAAGGTATTGGTGACCTGTTTGCCCTCCTGTTCCCTTTCAACCATTGTCAAGGATTGCCTTGGTTTGTCAATAACCCGGGGTTTACCCTGACCCAGCCTTTGGGAGATAACTGGAAATCATGCTTCCCAAGAGCTGACTCTAGGCGGCGCTAGACTCCGCTTCTGCTCAGGCTCACAGTCAGGTGAGTTTCCATGACGCACTTCCTCCCATCCATCCCGCCCCACCTGAGTCCCCTTTTTCTCCTGTGGTCCGCAGCACTGAATATTGCAGCCGTGTAGCTTTGGCAATACCCAAATTGCTTCAATTAAAGAAAGAGAGATGGCAAGAGAGAGACAGTTCTTTTCTGCAAGCTGTCGGAAGCTCAGTGACTCAGAACTCATTTTTCTTGCAAGTTGAAAAAAAAATCTCGCCATGCGTGATAAACCTCTTTTCATCGACTGAGACATCAGACCCTGGAAAGTGGACATCGATTCCAACTCGGGGCCTCACTGGGGGAGCCAGGGTCGTTTTCTGAGGCTCTGTGGATAGTGTCAGCCTGATCGTGTCCTTTTTTTTTTTTTTTTTTTGCCACGCCTGGAGGCATGGGGGACTATAGTTCCCTCACCAGGATCAAACCCACGCCCCCTACAGTGGAAGCGTTGAATCCTAACCACTGGACCGCCAGGGAAGTCCCCCCTGTCTTTTCATTCCCCCCACTGCGGGTCCCCGTTGCCCCGAATCCCCAAGTTAAAGGCCGAAAGGTGAGTGAGAACCAATGTCTGCGAATGCCCAGCTTACACATCTTCACGTAATCCTTCCCTGTAGCCACGTGACTCTTGGCCTCCCCCAGGGTCCAGATCCTGGCCAACCCAGTTCACGGTATCCTCGCCGCTGGCCGGTAGGGAGTTCACGGCGGGGCATCCATCCTCTGGAGAGAGGGTGGCGAAAGTGGTGAATTTGACTCTTTTTCTTTTTGAGGTAGGGGACGTTGGGGGCTCGCTTTTCTGATCTTTCCCGTCCGCGAGGGTGGGTACTGAAGATCTGAACAGCTGTCCGTTGATGCTCTTTTGGGAGTCTGTGCAGAGCAGATACTTGCTCTCCTCGAAATCCATGCCCCTGTCGATGGCGGTGATCTGCTCCTCTTGGGAGGAGGAAAAGTGGAGCTGGTTCTCCAGCAGTTCGGTCCGGTGGCTCAGGCCGACCCAGTCGTGGGAGTGAGTCATCCCTTCCTGTTCTTCGAAGGGGACCTGTTTGTGCCTGTACTTCAATGCAAAGGTCACGCAGTTGATGAGGAAGACCAAAATGGCCAGGCAGAAGACCCCCAGCAGGGCATACATTCCGATCTCCAGGTCGCTCAGCCCTTTGGAGGACTGGGGGTCGCTCTCCTCCGTCTCCCCGTGGCTTCTGGGCAGGTCCACCTGGGCCGGGAAGCTGGTGAGGTCGATGGAGATGGTCTGCAAATGGCCGCCATCATCCAGAAGGCTTTCCTGGCCCCTATTTTTCTGGAAGGTGGACCGCTCTGTCGTGGAGCCCCTGCCTTCCATGAGGCCCACGGAGGAGCTGCCGTAGTACTCTCCCTCCTGACTCCCCCATTGCTGCAAGGGCTTTTTGGGTCTCCTGTCACTGATGCTATTATCCAGGGGACCTCCTGCCCCCCTGTGTCTGCTGTCACTGGTGTTGGGGGTGGCGTCGTTTTGGCCAAACTTCACTTTGATGTTGGCTGTCCCCACCGCCAGCACGCTCTTCCGCTTGGATTTCTGGCACGATTCGCAAATGACCATTTCGACCTTGACCAGGGCCCCCTGTCCTTCAGCTTCAGCGGCGATTATAGGCCACTTGAATTTGGGGTCTTGGTGGATGGAGACCACCTTCTCATCCAGGGATGTGGCCATCAGGGAGAAGTCTTTTGCATCATAAATATCCAAGGGGGTGACGGAGCCATCACTGAATTGGACCCAGCAACTGATGGCTGCTTCCTGTTGAAGAGAATAAGTAAGTTCATCAAAGATGGACACAGAGGGGGCAAGGGGAGGGTGGAATAAACTGGAAGAGCAGCATTGACATATACACACTGCCACGTGTAAGAGAGACAGCTAGTGGGAAGGCTCTCTATAGCAGAGGGGCTCAGCTCGGAGTTCTGTGATGACCTAGAGGGGTGGGATGCAGTCGGGGGGAGGGCCCAGCGGGAAGGGATATATGTGCACTTATCGCTGATTCATGTCGTTCTACAGCAGAGACTAACACGGCATTAACATTGTAAAGCAATTATACTCCAATTAAAAAATGTTTAAAAAATGGATCTCAAAGCTCATTGCCCACAAAGACAATCTGTAGCAAAGAGAATGCTACCAGAACAAAGGGAAACCTGTTACACAGTATAGAAGTAAGAAGTACAAAGGGTATAAAATAGAATGAGTTCTTGTAAAGACAAGAGAACCTAAAGAAAAACCACAAGAGTAAAATGACAACCATGAAACAGGACCAGGAGTAAACACCTCCTAATAAGATGTGCTTTCTTTCCTGAGGTGTTGAAAGATGTTTGTTTTTTTTTTTCCCTTCTCTGCAAGATCTACTTCTGCATAATAATAGATTGCATGTCAAAGGAGATTTACTGGCTAGTGGGTCATTCACAAGTGTTACACGTTTAAATGAAACATATTTATTACATTACTTTTAAGTTGCTTTAACAGCCAGTCTCTGAACATTACTCACAACACAGATGAACGCCCCTGATCTAGACAAGGGCGCCTCAGAGGTGCTGCCAGCTTTAGGCTTTAGTTGTGTTGGGTCCTGCCATGTATGCATCTAAGGATAGGCTTGTATTGGCTTGTGGACACAGCCCTGGCTTGGAGGTGAGGGGTAATGCCGTCCAGGCAGAGAGAGGGGTTGGGGTGAAGATTAAGGTTAGGAAGCTCTCTATTGGGAGAATCTTTGTCCCCCATCCATCCTCCAACCCACCCACTGGGGGAAATTGGGAGACCAAAGAGTAGCCAGGGCCAAGGTTTGTATATATCTCAATTTCTTTTCTTTTTACTTTGTTGCTTTAGATCTGATTTCCTCGGGACTAGTCTGACCAGGGGGATTATAAGAGATGAGATAATCTCATCTCAGCCCCAAGAGGCTTATGCCCCTGCCTACCTGGCCACAGCTGACCTAACCCGGAGAATGGCTGCTGTCAGAGCCATTCATCTCAGCAGCTCTGAGCCTGCCGGCATCTCCCCCTCCAGTTTGAAATAAGAAAGACAGTACTGAAGGACTTAGTTGTGGGCAGATGAGTGGGAGCTCGTATGAAACTGGGGAATGAAGCCTCACTTTGGAGCAACTACAACGGATCAAGTACAAGCACATGTCTGGGCTCAGCATTTATCTAATGAGATAATGCATGTGAGAGAGACTGTTGAACCCGTTTCACCAAGTTCTTACAGCTGGGCTTCCCTGGTGGCTCAGGCCGTGGGGGATATGTCTGCAAGGAGAGAGACCTGGGTTCGATCCCTGGGTCGGGAGGATCCCCTGGAGAAGGGAATGGCTGCCCACTCCTGGAGTAAGCCAAGTGTCCTTGCCTGGAGAATTCCATGGACAGAGGAGCCTGGCAGGTTATACAGTCCATGGAGTTGCAAAGAATAAGACACAACTGAGCAACTAACACTTTGACAAAAGCCTTGCTAATCTTGTAATAAATCCAGTGTTATTTCAACTTGCTTGAGTGGATTTCTCTTTCTTGAAACCAAGGCACCCCCAACTACAACAGAGTGAGTTTTCCTCGTGGTATCTGGTCTTTGGAAGTGAGAAGGAAGCTTCTCACATGAGACTGGTGGCTTCTGCTCCTTCTTTGGCTCAGTCGGTAACTTTGGCTCAGTTGTTAGACATTGGCTTGGACTGGCTGCTAGGTGGGAAACACCACCAAGAGACTGTGCAAAAGCCACTGGGCATAACCCTGATTTACAGGGTCTATTTTTTTTTTTTTTTTAAGCTGTGCCAGGTCTTAGTTGGGGCATGTGAACTTCTTAGTTGCAGCATGTGGGATCTTGTTCCCTGACCAGAGGTCAAACCCCGGCCCCCTGCATTGGGAGCACAAAATCTCAGCCACTGGATCACTAGGGAAGTCCTCTACTAGGGTCTTCCGATTGGCCATAAAATCACGGCAGGTAATTCAAATGCATACTGGATTTCTTGAAACTGAAATGTCAGAGCCAAGTTGCAGGCAGAAGCCAAGCTCCATCCAAACCAAGCACAGAGCAAACCTCAGGGTCACATGGTTTGCTCTGCATATGGGGAATGGATCAGCTCTGTGGCCTTCTTCTAACTGTGTCTTATCGCTTCCGAAACTCCTCATTGGCCATCACCTGATTGGATCACCCCAGGAAGACAGGAAGAAGCCTCAGGTTACTTCTCCTCTGCTACCTGGAACTTGCATCCTGGCTGGTATCATGCCCTGAGAAGTGGGAGGTTTGCCTTTGGCAAGAATTCGTATCCATTTCTGAGATCACCCACTTTCAAGCGCTTTGTAGTCCAAAGCCTTGCACACAGAAACCACAGTGAAAGGGCAAGGGATTAGCTAACACCCGACGGAGGAGCATTCAGTGATGGATCTGGGCTGGGAAACTGCAAGACTCTGTGCTTCCAGGGGACAGTCTGGCTTAGTCACAGCCTCAGCGGGTGCACAAGGGGGCCCATCGTAACGCACCTGCTGAGCATAGAGCTGCCGGGAAAAGGGCTCTTGATTGACAAGGGAAATTGCCTGAAAACCCCCTACAAGGACTGGAGGCCTCCCAGCATCCCCTCTGGAGGACAGTCTGTCTCATGGGGCACAGAAAATCAGCAGCCTGAGACCACTGTCCTTGGGTGTTTGGTAAACAAGGCCCCCCAGAGTCACAACCCAGGTTCTCTCTAAGAAATAATGTTTCTCCACCTCTGATGAGGGAGGAGACCAGATAACATTTCCAAGTGCCCTGTTTGTTTGGCAACCGTGGTATGGACACACAAACATGTGCTGCATGATACACACAGCATATACACAACACTCAGGACACACACACACAGTACAAACACACACACACACATTCTATTAGCACATGCTGTTCTCCAACAAAGAGAAAGAATACCAGGTGCAACCTAACCACCAGTTTGCTACTTCTCCTGGGAGCTAAACAATAGATGTGGAAGCAACTCCTCCAATCTCCTTCTGACCCCCAAGACCTCTGACCCCAGACAGGAGCAGGGACTTCACAGACGTTTGGATACCTCCTTAGGGTCTCGCCTTCACCCCACCACTTGGGGAGGTCAGTGGGGGGAAGAGCCAGGACCATCTTGAAGGTGGAAAAACAGCACATGCAATGTCCAATGGGATGTGGAGCCTGCCCTGAGCTCCTCTGGCTCCTGGTACCTAGAATCCATCACTCATGGCAACCTTGTTGTTCAGCATCTCCCTTTAGGGGGGTAGGAAGCCTGAAGCTGAGCAGTCACTCGTTCACAGACCCTTTTCAAGACTAACAAGGACCTATTGGATAGCACAAGGAGCCCGACTCAGCACTCCGTAGTGACCTACACGGGGAAAGAATCTAAAGAAAAGAGTAGACATGTGCATACGTGTAGCTGATTGACACTTCTATACACCTGAAACTAACACTGCATCACAAATTAACTATAGTCCAATAAAATAAAATAAAAAAAAGACTGAGGAACACCCAGGGTGCAATCCCACTCTTTTGTGGGACCCCCCCCCAAACTGGTGACTCCATCAGACGGGCAACCTCACCTGCTACGTGACCTCAGCTGGTGTGCGACCTCACTTGATGTGTGTGTGTGACCTGCTCAGGGCAGGACCCCACTCGATGAATAAACCCACCGGTGTGTGACCCAATCCCACATGTGGCTCCAAGACACTTAGATCCCTGCTGGTGTGTGGCCCCCCCAGCCGTGTGACCTCCCCGGTAGGAGACCCCGCCCCACAGCGTGCCACCCCCGCTCCCACACCTGTTTGGGCCTTTGCAGAAGCTCTTGAGCCACCGCAGTGGCGAAGATGGCCCTGTTGCTCCCTGGGCTGAGCTGCAGGGAGAGCGACAGTCCCGTCACCAGCTGGACCCCGAGGTCCGTGATCGTCACCTTCTCGTCCAGCACAGTGACCGTCTTCTCAGCCAAGATAGCGTCTGACAGAGGCGACAGGATCTGAAAGGCAGAAATGACATAGCTCTCTGTGGTTTCAGAAAGCCCCCCTTTGGTGTAAAGGATGCTCCATGTGGGGGAGGGAGAGAGGCAGACAGAAGAGTGGGTCAACTGCAGGAATTCAGATCTTTTGAGCAAAAGTTGGCTGTGAAGACTCCAAGTGCTTGTCTATGGGGCAGGTATGTTTTGTTTGATGTAGTACTTTAAAATGGGATGAATGGCCATCCTTAAAAAAAATAGAGGATTTCATATTAAGGATAGCTTTCTAGCTTTTCTGAAAAACTGGCAATATCTCTCCATGCTGGGCTCCCATTTCCTCTTTGGCAGCTTTTGGAGAGGAAGACCAGCCTCTCCATCACACTCCTCACCACTCCCTATTGTGCTCCTTACATTTAGGTTCCAAATCAGTCATTGTCTTTCATCTGACATCCATCCTGCTTTTCTCACTGACGGCTCCTTCTCAGCTTTTAGAGAGCATTAGAACATGTGACTCCTGGGTCCCAGTTCAAAGAAATCTGTTTTCCTCCTTGATAAAATGATCTCTTTAATTTTCACTTTTTTTTCCACTGGTAAAAGTACTTTATTAAATTATGTCATTTGCAAGTGGTTTCATAAGAATATATAAAAGGAAAGTTATAAAACATTTTCAAAAAAGTATAGGGTTAACAGCAAAATTAGATTTTCTTGATCATATAAATAAAAACATTTTGTTTCAATAGGCTGTCTGAATATTTTATAATATATGCCCCAACTGACAGCTGCAATAAATCTATTTTAATGAGAACTCCCATAGTTAATTAAGTCATTTGTTAATAACGGGTTCAAAAATGATCTCTTTTAAATTCGAGCCCATTTCCCAGAGTGATTTACATTTTCCACAATCCAATATAGTTTCACTTATAAGTCTTTGCTATGCACAAATATTTTAGAAACCTCACTTGTTGCTTAAGAGGATGATCGCCTCTCCTACAAATGGGGCAGCCACTGAGGAATAATATTTGGTCTCAGACAGGAGGAAAATGACTAAACCCTAGTGGCCCTCCCAGAACCACGGCTTGTGAAAGTGTTTGTTTCAAAACTCCCATTCTGCACACTGGTCTACCCCATCCATTCCCAGCAGAAGGTGCTCACAAGACCGGTGGAGTCACAATAACTTTGTTCCTTCCTTCAGCACATTTCTGGAATGTGTGGGAAATTGTGACCTGGTGAATGCAGCTGAGCATCACGGCAGGATGCAAAGCTTTCAGGTGACAATGGTCAGTGAGGTAGATTGACAGAGTGAGAAGCTGCTGACCATGCCCTGAATTCTAATGAGGTTAGTTCATCTCGAGAGTTTTCAAATTTTTTTAATTTAAAAATTTAAAAATTGTATTTTATATTGGGGTAGAGTTGATTTACAATGTTGTGTTAGTTTCAGGTGTACAACAAAGTGATTCAGTTACCCACACACATATGTCTGTTCTTTTTCAGATTCTTTTCCCACATAGGTTCTTGCAGAGTATTGAGTAGAGATCCATGGCTGTACAGTAGGTCCTTGTTGATTGTCTATTTCATATATGTAGTGTGCATATTTTAATCTCAGATTTCTAATTTGTTCCTTCATCTCCCTTTCCCCTTTAATAACCATAAGTTTGTTTTCTATGTCTGTGAGGCTGTTTCTGTTTTGTGAATAAGTTCATTTGTATCATTTTTTTAGATGGTACAAATGAACTTAATATCATATGATATTTGTCTTTCTCTGACTGGCTTACTCCATTTAGTATGCTAATCTCTAGGTCCATCTATGTTGTTGCAACTGGCATGTATATATATATATATATATATATATATATATATATATACATACACACACACACACCATATCTTTTTTATTCATTCATCTGTTGATGAACACTTAGGTTGCTTCCATATCTTTACTATTGTAAATAGTGCTGCTATGAACACTGGGGTTCATGTATCTTTTTGAATTAGAGTTTTTGTCTTTTCCAGATATATGCCCAGAAGTACATATATTAGTGACTCTATTTTTGGAGCTTTTGTCCCAAGATGGTAATGTCCACCATGTCTTACAGACAAGTAATGTCTTGAAGTTTCAGACATGATTCAACCCAAGAAGTCAGGCCAGTGTTGCTCAAATGAAAGGAAATCTGTGAGGAATTTAAAGACTCTTGTCACATTATTATATCATTTATTTTATTTACTTGACAGTTCCTTTCAACCTACTCATTCTGAAAATGGGCATTGTCAAACAGAGTTACCACATGATCCAGGGAGAGCAGTCCTGGGCAAACATCTAGAGAAAACTCTAACTTGAAAAATTAAATATACCTCTATGTTCATTGCTGCACTATTTGCAGTAGCCGGGGCAGGGAAACAACCTGTCCATTGACAAATGACTGGATAAAGGAGATGTGGTACATATATGCAATAGAATACTACTTAGTCATAAAAAAGAATGAAATAGTGCCATTTGCAGCAACATGGACAATCTAGACATTATCAAACTAAGTGAAGTAAGCCAGATCGAGAAAGACAAATAACATGACAGTCATATGTGGAATCTAAAATATGACACATACATATATACATACTACTACACACTACCATAAATAAAATTGATAAACAGCAAGGACCTACTGTGCAGCACAGGGAACTGTATTCAATATCTTATGATAATCTACAAGGGAAAAGAAAGAATAGATACATATGTATGTATAACCGAATCACTTGGTTGCACACCTGAAACGAACACAATATTGTAAGTCAACTGCCCTTTAATTTAAAGACTGGATATTAGTCTAAGACACAAATAACAGAGCTCTCCTCTGAGATGTCTTACCTGAATGGTGGTCATCCCCAGTTCCTGGCCAATCAGGACCTGTGCCCCTTGCAGCTTGGCGATCCGGGGCTCCTCCACCTGCATGAAGTCATTCACCAGCTCCGTGATGTCCACCTGCCAATCGGAGCCCAGCAGGTGGGCCAGCTGCCCCCCGGGCTCAGCCGCTTCCGCCACAAACTGAGTCAAGACCCGCACCATGGCATGCTGGTACTGGAGCGTGCAGCCCCTGTTCCTCCTTTCGTCTTCATCCTCCTCCTCGCTGTCCTGAGCTGGCCTGTCAAAGGGGCAGTTCGCTTTAACAGAGGTTGATTTGTTGGGTCACCGGCCGGGGGGCTGGGTGTGAAATGTGGCAGGGGCTGCAGTGGTGAGTGGGCCTAAGTCCTGCCGTCATGGAGCTCATAGCCTGGGGTGGGCTTCAACAGACGTGCAGGGGTGATGCTCAGAATATTTGACCACTGCTGTGGCCTGAGGATGGGCTTCCCCAGTGGCTCAGTGTAAAGAATTCACCTGCAATGCAGGAGATTCAGGAGACCCGGGGTTGGTCTCTGGGTTGGTAAGATCCCCTGGAGGAGGGCATGGCAACCTGTTCCAGTATTCTTGCCTGGAGAATCCCATGGACAGAGGAGGCTCATGGGCTACAGTCCATGGGGTCACAAAGAGATGCGACTGAGCACCCACCCACATGCTTAGGGCCTGAGTACACGCCTCCCTAGAGGCTTGGCTGTAAAGAACCCACCTGCCAATGTAGGAGACACAGATTAGATCCCTGGGTGGGGAAGATCCCCTGGAGAAGGAAATGGCAACACACTCCATTATTCTTGCCTGGGAAATCCCACGGACAAAGGAGCCTCACATGGCTACAGTCCGTGGGTCACTAAGAGTTGGATGCGACTTGGTACTTTCTTGTTTGGCTCTCTTTCCTTGGTTCCTCTCTCTCGCTTGCCCTGAAGAAGCCAGCTGCCATGCTCTGGGCAGCTCTATGAGGACAACCCACAGCTATAAACTGAGCAGCCTCTGGCCAACATCCAGTGAGGAACTGTGGCCCTCAGCTCAGTAGCCTGTGAGGAGCTGAGACCAGCCAGCAACCACGTGAGCTTAGCTGCAGGTCCATCCCCACTGAGCCTCATGATGAGACCACAGCTCTGGCTGACAGCTGGATGGCAGCCTGAGGGAGACCCAAGCCTTGCCTCGGTTCCTGATGCAGAAGAACTGTGACATGACAGGTTTTTCCTTTAAGCCACTTGGTTTTGGGATAAGCCATTATATCATGTCATGGTAGTCAATACAATAAGGCTCTGGATGCCCAGTGTAGCCTTGTAAACCAGTACACAAGGAAAGTGAGTGTTTCACTCAAGGTATTTGGTGATGATAACTGTTGAAAGAGCAAGGATGGTGGCCAGGAAGCAGATGTTAGTTGTTCCCTCAACATCTGATGCCTTATGCACCCTCAGCCCTTCCCAGCACCATCATGATTTCCATCAGGTCAGCTGTTGATTCCTTGAAATAGTTCTGTAGCTATATCTGAGCTGAAAGTCGTGACAGCATCTGGACTGTCCATAATGAGACTCAGCCAGTTCTTTCTTTTTTTTTTTTTTTCAGCCAAACGGCATGTGGGATCTTAGTTCCCCAACCAGGGATTGAACCTGCACCCCCTGCATTGGAAACATGGCATCTTAATCACTGGATCACTAGGGAAGTCCCCAGTTCCTTGGTGAGTCTCTCCCTGCAACTGCCTGCCCTCAGGAGCATCAGTAACCATGCTGAATTCCATTCTCCCAACTCAACATTAGAAACCCCTGTGGTTAAGAAAAAGATCATGGCTGAAACCATCTTCCAATTGCACATGGAACCCAAACCTCCATTCCTGAAGCCAGACCCTCTCCCAGGGGCCACAAGAACTCAAAGGGGTGGACTTCCAAGGGCAAGAATGTAAAATCTATCCCTCACGTAAGTACCAATTCTCTCCTCTCTGTTGAGTACCCAGACTCCAGGAATATTTCCTTGTCTAATTCTGCACATGCTCACTTTTGCCTTTCTACAAGTCACTTGTAAATGATTCTTTAAGCATGGGTCTCTCTGAGATGACAAAATTCTCTGAACAAAATTCTCTTTTTATCTGATGCCTACTTATTTGCCTCATGTGGACAGTGCAGACTTGTGATTCCATCAAACACCGTCAGAGTGATACACCAGGCACACAGAAGACAAGCTTTGGACTTCATCTCCCCAAGGGAAAGCAATCTCAGAGTTTCTGGGCTGGGGGCACAAAGAGACTGCCCAGGTCAGGCAGCATCTGTTCAGACAGGTCTCTCGTGAACCTCTATGGCTTGGGTCCCTCCAGATCAATTCTCCCATCTCCTGATATTGATCCCTTGGTTTAGGCAGGGTTGACCTTTCTTTAGCTCCTCTGGCTCCAACCAGAGGAACGTGGCTGCAGCCTAGCTGGCCAATCAGTGTATTCTATCTCCCCTCCTTCTCCTCCTCCTCATCTGCATGTGATTAGATCAGGCATGGACACACAACCCAAGTAAGAATAACACTTAACTCAAAGTCTCTAGTAGGAATTACTGGGGAAGAGAGGATGCACTTTTTGCAGAGTCGCAAAGAAGGTAGACTAGAAGTCTGGAACTTCAGGAGCAAAATTTGATAGGGAATGAAGCTTATATAAGCAAACGAGCTGAGAAGGGGCTAGAGACACACACCCTTAGGCTACCCCTGAACCCTTGGAATGAGACATGCCTGAAGTTAGCTATCCTGTAAATTTCCACTTTTAGCCTAAGCATACTTGACCTGGGTTTCTGCCTTGGAGCCTGACCAGCACACCCACCTCTTGTTGGAGACGATGGGGACTCTCCAGCCCTTGATCTGGTTGAGCTCAGTGTCCGAGATCTCGATCTGCAGGGGCAACCGGGGCACCCATACCGTCATCTCCAGAGGAGTGTTCAGGTGCTGGAAGGTGAAGTTCACCACCACGCCCACCTTGCCCTTCATTTCCTTCCCATTGACAAAGACATAGTCACATCTGTCAGAAACCTGGAAGGAGAGAGAGAGTGGTGGGGGACCCATGAGTGAATTTTTATCACACCCCAAAGTGGTGGTGGAGAAGACTCTCGAGAAGCCCTTGGACGGTGAGGAGATCAAACCAGTCAATCCTCGGGGAAATCAACTCTGAATATTCATTGGAAGGACTGATGCTGAAGCTGAAGCTCCAATACTTTGGCCACCTGATGCAAAGAACTGACTGCTTGGAAAAGACNCTGATGCGAAGAACCGACTGACTGGAAAGGATCCTGATGCTGGGAAAGGTTGAAGGCAGGAGAAGTGGGCAACAGAGGATGAGATGGTTGGATAGCATCACTGAATTAATGGACATGAGTTTGAGCAAGTTCCAGGAGATAGTGAAGGATAGGGAAGCCTGGCGTGCTGCAGTCCACGGGGTCACAGAGAGTCAGACACGACTTAGTGACTGAAAAACATGGGAACAGCCAGAGAAAGCAGAGGAGAAAACTGAAGTGTCATAGCTCTTCTGGGGGCATGATCATGAGAAGTAAGTGGACACTGGTTTTTTGGGTTTTTTTGGCCACACCACATAGCTTGTGGGATCTTAGTTCCAGACCAGGGATCAAACCCATGCCCTTGGCAGTTAAAGTGCAGAGTCCCAACCACTGGGCTGCCATGGAATTCCCTGGATACTGGTTTTTCCTTTCTGATACAGCAGAGGCTACAATGACAGATACCATGGGCCCCACCCACCTCTCCTTCGAGCTCTTTGATTAGTTGAGGTCACTCATCCCCACTGGCTGTAGATGTTCTGCTGATACTTTATGCTACACCTCCTCTGGGAGACTGCCCTTAGGTGATGGAGCCGTACCTGCAGAGTTACTTGTGTGTTACATACCACCCATCCCATCCCATCCCATCCCATCCCATCCCATCCCATCACCTCTCTTTGCCCAGTGATGACTTCCTGATTTGTCTGAAGGAGGAACAAACTGCCTGTTAACACATCCAGGCACATGTTAGCTCATTTCATCCTCAGAACAACCCCGAGATGGGTGTTAGTCCCATATTCCAGATGAGGAAACTGAGCGCAGAGGAGTTTGACTCCCCTGCTGGCCGGGAGCAGCCATGAATCAGCCCTGGGGTCTGGTTTCGGAATTCACATTCCCACCTTGTGCTCGGGTATGGGAAGGCTTCTCTCTGCCACCATTTGAGAGAAGAGCCAAGTTCACAGCACCTTGTCCCCTCATCTTTGTGTCCCAGCTCTGCAGGGGATCCCATGCCCGTCCTAAACAAGACTTGGGGTGAAGCTTTGGAGTCATGCAGTAGTATGAATGATGGCTCTCAAAGATACCAAATCCTAACTTCCGGGACCGGTACATTAGTTTATTTGACATAAATGACTTCTCAAGTGTGATGAAGTTAAGGGTCTTGAGATGAGCAGGTAGTCCGAGATTATCCAGGTGGTCCCTAAATGTAATCCGAATGTCCTTACAGGAAAGAAGCAGAGGGAGATTTGGGAGCCTTGGGCAGAGGAAGGCTATGTAGATGCTATGCAGCCAGCTTTGTGGATGGAAGAAAGGGCCAAAGGAGCCCAAAGAAAGCATCTCTAGGAGCTTGGGAAGTCAGGGAAGTGTTCTCTCCTCTAGAGTCTCAGGGTTGGGATGGGAGGGAGTGCAGTCCTGCTGACACCTTGTGAAGCTGATGAAGGGTTTCTTCTCTCAGAACATGTGGGAGAATACACGTGTGTGGTTTTCAGGAAATTTTTTTTGTTTTTTTACTTGCAGGATCTCAGTACCCCAATGAGGGATTGAACCCACGCCTCCTACAATGGAAGTGTGGAATCTTAATCACTGAAGTTCTTAATCTTAACCAGGGAAGTTCCTATATGTGGCTTTTTTTACCCAAGATTTTTTGATGTGGACCATTTAAAATATCTTTACTGAATTTGTTGCAATATTGCTCCCGCTTTTACCCCTCTGGCCACCAGGCATATGGCATCCCGGCTCCCTGACCAGGGCTCAAACCTGCACACCCTACATTGAAAGGTGAAGTCTTAACCCCTGGACCACCAGGGAAGGCTCACATGTATGGTTTTAAGTCACCAGATTTGTGGTCATTTGTCCCAGAAGCCACAAGAGATGGATACTGAGAGGGAGAGGAGGACAGAACCAGAGGCCATGAGGGTGTCTTCCCTGCTTGGGGCTTGACTGGTTGAGCTTGGAGCGGGATATGAACCGGAGTGAAGCCCTTGGTTTACTGAGCACCTAATACGTGCCCAGCCCAGCAGGTGACCACCTCCCATGTATGGTCCCAGTCACTAGTCAGTCACAAGAACCCAGGAGGCGGGGCCATTACTGTCATTTCACAGGTCCAAGAATTAAGTACCATTTCCTAAGGACACTTCCCACGTGGCACTACTTGTAAAGAATTCGTCTGCTAATGCAGGAGATGCAAGAGACGCAGGTTCGATCCCTGGCTTGAGAAGATCCCCTGGAGTAGGAAATGTCAATCCACTCCAGTGTTCTTCCTGAGAAATCCCATGGACAGAGGAGCCTGGTGGGCCACGGTCCATGGGATCACAAAGAATCAGACATGACTGAGCGCGCGCGCACACACACACACACACACACACACACAAAGGACGCACGGCTGCAAAGTGGGAAGACCAGATTCAACCCAAGTCACCTCCCAGCTGCCTCCTGCTTCGGTACAGGCATCAGTCTTGCCTGGATGCTCTGTTGTGATCTGTTTTTTTTTTTTAAAGGATGCAAACCTCCCTCCAGCACTTAGAGGGGCATGAAGAAAGCAATGCAGAAATGACTAGGTTGTCCAAACATCTTAGAAACATCTTAGAAAGGATTGCTGATGATGGCTCCTTGATCTTCCCGGTGAGGCAACAAGGGGGCCAGGGAGCTCACGGGGGGCTCGTTATCCAGGGGGTGGTCAGTGACTTGGAGGGAAACGTGGGCCCGGGTCCCTTTCTGAGTGGAGCTGCTGATCCTCCTAAATGTCCGCCAGTGGTGGGAGTACTGAAATCTTATTGGAAAGTGCAATGGAACCAGCCCAGGTAGTTTTATTGTAATTTGTCCTGATCACTGACATTTCATCTTCAGGGCTGCTGAGTCTTGAACCTTAGGCATTTTCTTTCTTTAAACATTTTGTTCTTTTTGATGCTTTTGTAAGTGGAAATATTTTCTTTTTAAATTTTATTTTGCCTGCACTGGATCTTTCTTATGGGTGCTCAGACTTACTTGCCCTGAGGCAGGTGGAATCTTCACAGATCAGGGATCAAACCTGTATGCCTTGCAATGGAAGCTGGATTCTTAACTACGGACCATCTGGGAATCCTAGCTTTTCATTTTTAAGCCTTTCAATTCTGAATGAGGCTGAATTGCCAGAGGTAAGCCAAGAAATAGAGACTGAGTGACAGAGGGAGCAAGAAAATACTGAGAAGACTTACTTTCAGAAAAAGAAGCTGGGACTTCCATGGTGGGCCAGTGGTTAAGGGTCTGCCGGCCAATGCAGGAGATGCAGGTTCGATGCCTGATCCAGGAAGATCCCATGTTTATTGGAGCAACTAAGCCTGTGTCCCACCACTACTGAGCCTGTGCTCCAAAGTCCGGGCACCGCAACTGCTGAGCCTTTGTGCCACAACTAGAGAAAAGCCCGTGCAGCAACAAAGACCTAGCGCAGCCAAAAATAAATAAATAAAAATGCAAACAGGCATTAAAAAAAACACAAAAAAGAAAAAGAAGCTGTTTCATGACTTTAATCTTATGGGCCCTTTTGTCAAATCAGGGGTTCTAAGTAAAGGTACGTGAAGCTCACTGTGGGCAAAAAGCCCTATATCCTCCTGTGGATGAGAGATGCTTGGTGTGTTAGCCAAAGCTGTGAGTGCAAAAAATGAAGTCTATATGTTTTGTTCTTTTTTTTTTTTTAAACTCAGTGTTTCCCCCCAAAGCAATGAGGAAAAGTGGGAGTTAGACTTTGATACAAAGGATAAGGAAGGTACGCAGAGGGAGAGCAGGGTCACTCTTAGTAGAGATGAGTGGACACAACTGATGCTCAGGACTTGGAACAGTGCTAGGTAAGCTGGGCTGAGCCCTGAGATAGAGACGGGGTGTGTGTGCGTGTGTGTGTGTGTGTGTGTGTTTACATCAACTAATAAGGACAGCACCCACATTTGATAAGAGGTTTGTAAGTTTGATTTAAGAGTAAACTCTAGTTATTAAGTACTTTAAAAAAGAAATCCAGAAGCACTTTTTTTTCTCCCCCTGCACAACCAAATTACAAAGTTCAAAAGTGTTTCTTATGCTTTACCACTCAGTTTTTAGATGACATGTACCCCAATGTGCCAGCTTCCCTGGGGGCTCAGATAGTAAAAAAAAAAAAAAAACCTTCCTGCAATGCAGGAGACCCAGGTTCGATCCCTAGCTTGGGAAGATCCCCTGGAGAAGGGAATGGCAACCCACTCCAGTATTCTTGCCTGGGAAACTCCATGGACAGAGGAGCCTGGCAGGCTATGGGGTCTATGGGGTCACAAAGAGTTGGACATGACTGAGTGATTAACACACACCTGGGTGTGCATTGCAGCATTGTTTACAACAGCCAGGATATGGAAGCAACCTAGATGTCCATCAACAGATGAACGGATAAAGAAGATGTGGTGCATATATACAATGGAATACCACTCAGCCATAAAAAAGAATGAATTTGAGTCAGTTATAGTGAGGTGGATGAGCCTAGAGCCTGTTATATAGAGTGACGTAAGTCAGAAAGAGAACAACAGATATAGTATATTAATACATGTGTATGGAATTTAGAAAAATGATACGGATGAACCTGTGCAGGGAAGGAATGGAGACAGAGATATAGAGAATGGACTTGTGGACACAGGACAGGAAGAAAGAGTGGGATGAGCAGAGAAAGTAGCATCGACATATATGCACTCTCGTGTGTAAAGCAGATAGCTGGTGAGAAGCTGCTATATAACATAGGGGGCCCAGGCTGCTGCTCTGTGATGA